CACGAAACGTTTGTTCGCCACCACAGCAACCTAACTAAATGTATTATTTTTTTGTATTTTTATAATTGATGATAAATATACGCAAATATTTATTGTTTTTATCATAATCACAAATATACAATAAATATAATGTACTTAGTTAAGTTGCCGTGGCCTGTGGTGGAGAACAAACGTTTCGTGAAATATTCACCCCCCCCGTTATGTAACCCACGAGGTGTTTTCGCGAACTTGCGCGTGACTTTTAAATTACTTCTTTTGAATTCTAACAGGACAACTATTATAGGAGGTTTTTTCCCCCCAAATACAAATAATATTTCCAATTTTTGGATTGGGACTATTCTACAATGAAGTACTCCTGGATAATGTAATCTAAATACATATGAAAACGAAGAAGTGGCATTTATCGGGCAGAGAAGTGGCAAGCCATTAAAATGGCGGCAATTTGACGAAGTATCGAAGGACACAATATCGAAGATAAAATACACTGCACTGTTTCTAAAGTGGATAAAACCTTCTTTGAAATCTTCTTCAGCCATTTATAATTATGTAAAAGCACAATAACTGGATGATATTTGCGAGATTCGGCGATAAAAAGCAAACAAGACGGCAAAATATGGCTGAAATCGTGTTTTCGTGGGGAGTAAGTGAAATAAAATGTATTATATTTAAAGAAAACAATGACAATCCTTATGATATCAACAATATTTATATTAAATTAAGCATAGTTTTTCACCCCATGATAATTTTTTTTAGGAAATAAGAATATTTAATTTCTGCCAGGCATATTAGTTATTTTATGCATAATTAGCAATTTACCTGGGGTGGTGCATGGTCATTTTCTTGTAAAATATTTGCTTAGACAATTTTTTTCTTCCAATGACCACCCCTAAAAGTAACCCTTCTAAACACTATAAGCACTTCAGAAAGACTATCGCTTTTTGTTTTCTGAAGTTAGAGCTATGTCGACACTGCCGTTTCAGGGCGGGGTCATTTTCAGGACTTTCGTCCCGGATTCAGGTTTTGGCACATATGCCATGTTGACCGCCATGGTCATTTTACCCTAAAACAGTTGAGATTACCTGTGCTAAATGAAACGCATACAAACTCATATACAGGTCCTAGACTACTTGTAAAAAGGTATCAACACGGCTATATTTTCTATATAACTCGCTGCCGCAGTACCTGTCCGATGACTTAGAAAACCTTCAAAAACGTGCTTTTCGCATAATTTTTCCTGATATGCACTACAAAAATGTCTTGGAGACCAAGAACATTTTGTCACTGAACGATCGAAGACAAAAATTAACAACGAAGTTGTTTAACGAAATAGTCAGCAACTCACATCATAATTTATACGACCTCCTCCCGCCATTTAATACCGACGATCACTTTTTAAGAAATCATAGAAATTTTGAACTTCCTGTGTGTAAAACGAACAGACTTGATGACAGTTTTATCATGCACAATTCTAATATACATTTTAGATAGTTGATTTGATTTTTTAATTTTTAAATGTAAATAGGGTTCATAGCATATATTCTAAATATCTTATATCTGTTAAACTTAGCGTAATTCAGCTGTGAAATTTTCTGAGGCTGTACGTTCTAAAGTTCAATAAACCATCTATCTATCTATCTATCACAAATTAGTGCAGTGAGAGTTTCTGTCGAGAGGTTGTTTGGAGATGTGATAAACACAATTCGTTTTATGGATTTTAAGAAAAATCTAAAAATAGGCATGAGTAGTGTGGGAAAAGCTTACATTGTTTGTGCGTTGTTGAGAAATGCACTCACATGCCTGTATAAAAATAACAAATCAGAGTTTTTTAACATAAGTCCTCCAAGTTTAGAAAGATATTTTGGGCAGCATGAGTGAACAGTTATATACTTACTATAAGTCATGAGGCATAGGCAAATGATTAAATATATATTTTATAGCCCAATAGATAAGTAAACCGCCAATCCAAATATAGGTAAACATACATGTATAAAATTGCATTAATTGAAATGTACAGTATACACTGGTTCTAAAAGCATGCAAAGGCTGTTCACATGAGTCTGACGTTTAAAACTTACTTAAAATAAAGTGGCAGAGAATATAGTTGGTTCAGGTTTAGGTAAAAGCTTGTCTTAAAGTATATTCAAATCTTTTCTTACGGCCAAGGAAATATTTTCGTGACAGTCAGTGAAATTAGCTGGGTCATATAAACAGCCCTAAATATGATTGTTCTTAATAAACGATTAAAGCAACTCAACAATATAAACATTTTGTGTATAACCAGGGGCGTAGGAACCGGGGAGGGCAGCCCCCCCCCCCCCAGTTTTCCAAAGTGCTCTTTTTCCGGGAGCAAAGTGCTCTTTTCTTGCGTGAAAAATGTCATTAAGATTGCATTTTTTGCCCAAAGGGCAGTTTTGAAAACTTGAATTTATGTTATTTCCGGAAAATGTTTTTCATTTCCAGGAAAAATATCATATATCCGGAACATTTTTTGGTGTATCCGAAAATTTTTTTCAGATTTAGGGAAAAATGTGACATATCCGGAATTGTTTTTTGGTATGTCCGTAAAATTTTATTGAGATGACCTCCCCCCGCCTACCCCCCCCCCCCGTCGCCAACATTTCCGGGGAAAAATTTTTAGATGCCCTTTTTTATTCGAAAAGTGCCCCTCGAAACCTGGCCCCTCCAACTTTTAGAAGCTTCCTACGCCCCTGTGTATAACGTTTATAAAAAGTCTACGAAACACAGTACATAGCCGGTGAACAGAATCTCCTTATTTCTCCGTAAACTTTTGCATTTAGACAAATATGAAGCGATAACAAATTTATTAAAGAAAGACGTTTCGAAGTCATCTTGACCTCATTTTCAAGTTCAAATTATAACAGAAAACGATTAAATGAATATAAATAGCGTTTACAAATAATTGCGAAAGCAAACTAATCCGTCATACATGACAGTTGCAATTTTAAACTTAATTAACATAATTAGAATAATTAAACGTGCAAATTGTAACAAACAATTAAACAAACAATAAAACAACACTAGACGAACAATTATGCTAATATAGAATGTTAAGTAAATAGTTTTGAGCGTATCGAGTCCGATTGTTTGTTTAAACTAGGTTTAAGATCTTTACTAAATAACATTTCATGGAGTAAACACTCGAACTTTCCCCGACATTTTCTCAACACCTTGAAGTTTTTCTCGATGTTCTTTGCGTCCTCGCCATGCTTGTTGAACCATATGTTCTCCGACAACCGATGACTTGTGTTCATCAATGCGTTGATGTAAGTGTCGGCAAGTCTAACCGACATAATCTGCGTCGCACAGATCATATTTGAATAAATAAACAACACATTGCTGATTCACAAACGGTGGTTTCGTTTCTACTGCTGGGAAGTCTGCGGCAATCTTTCTGCTTGTGTAGACCGGTTGTATTTGTCTACCGATGGTCTTGCTGAGGTTACGCAGCTGTCGCCTCACCGAGTCTGCTGATTTCTGGTCTTTAAATGGTAGCATTCACGTACCACGTTTTCTTTGATGTTTCTTTCCTCGGCTGGATGATCGTCGCTTTCGCGTTTCTGGGCAGTGTACTTCGTTATGATGTTGTCAAGCAGGGATATAGGATATCTGAGACGAACGGAGGTTTTCTTCAGGCGTTCACATTCTTCGGTGAAGAGCTTCCACGATGATGATAGGCGGAATGCACGATTGAGCATGGTCAGGACGAGCGATTTCTTATACTTCACGTCTACATGACTATCATAATGTAACATAAGGCCAGTGTTTGTTGGCTTGATGTAGACTTCTGTTTCTACTCGACCGTTCTTATTAATTAGGGTTGTGCACAAGAAAGGTAACACACCATCAGTCTCTAATTCCATAGTGAATTGAAGGGATGGATGCAGACTGTTGAGGGTGGAAAGGAATGCTTCTGCGGAAGCAATATTGCTTTGCGATATGATGGAATCATCAACAAACCGGTGGTATAAGGAGTGCATCAGGTTCCGTTATACCAGCTTTTCCTCAATTGAACACATGAACGCGTTCGCCATGAGTGGAGCAAGTGGGGAGTTCATTGCAACTCCGTCGACTTGCTCGTATAACTTACCGTCGATTTGGAATAGCTGATGTTTAACTGCTAACTTCATGAGTTCGACAAGTTCAAATTTCTCAAGCTTTAGGTTGTATTTCCAGTTGAACCATTCTTTCTCAAACGCTTTGTCGGCAAGAATTTGGATCGTTTCATCAACTGGTACATTGGTGAAAAGCGATGCAACGTCATACGATACTGGCATGTCACTCTCAGCCATTTGTTTCTCGCGTAACTCCTCAGCAAACTTTAGTGGGTCGGAAACGGGGTACTTGTTAATCGAAAGGAATTCCAATTTCTCATCCAACCACTTGGCTAGCTTGAAGTTGTAAGTTCCGTTGGTGATAGTATTGGTCGCATTGCTAGCTGAGGTTTATGGGTCTTAGGTAAACCGTAAAGGTTTGCGAGGCGGGAACCTTTTGGGCAAATTGAGTCAGCTATTTCTATGGGTAGGATCTTTCTAACGGCGGTCTCGAGCTCTTTTTCTTTCCAAAGTAGGGGGTAATGTTTGACAGGTCTTCCTCTCGACTTTGGTCTTTCCAAACTCACGCTCTTGAACTTTTCAGTGTTGTTGATCGATGCTTCGTTTAGCAACTTTGTGTATTCGGACATATCCATTACGACAACCCCTGTTCCTTTATCTGGTTTAGTGATAACGATATCGTCTCGATAACGATTTGGTTTATCGATCGAAGCAACGTCTTTGGCGGTGATGTATTTTTTTGTACGTATGACGAATTAGTTTGCTTGCGCAATTATTTGTAAACGCTATTTATATTAATTTAATCGTGTTCTGTTATAATTTGAACTTGAAAATGAGGTCAAGATGACTTCGAAACGTCGTTCTTTAATAAATTTGTTATCGCTATCGTATTTGTCTAAATCTATATCAAAAAGTTTATTGATAAAAACTTTTGCATTGTAGCCAAAAATGCCATTGACATTTGTTGTTGTTGTTGATGAAGCAGTAGAGC